AAAGGGGCCCTGGGGATCAGTGAAGGGCAGTCATGGTTCACCTTCATGATCCCTCCCAGGGCAGAAGACCTGGGGGAGCCTTCAGACTCTGACTTCATGCAGCCTCGAGCCCTGGCACCGTAGGCCCCTTGATGCCCCATCACCCCCAGGACAGCCCCCTCTCTCGGGCCAGGACCCCATCACAGAGGCGCTGCCCACTCCTCTGCCCGCCCTCCTCCTCTGTTCTGGCAGATCCTGGTCTGGGGCCTTCGGAACATGAAGCAGGTGCGTTCGCCCCAGCTCTTGGTAGAATGCTGGGAGGAATCCCTGCAGACGGAACCCATCAGGGACTTCCAGACCGATCCCAACTTCACCGAGTCAGTCCTCTTCCTCATGCTGGTGAGGAGGCCGCAGGCGGGGTCGGGGAAGCAGGCCCTGGCTCTTGGGAAGCCTCATGCTCCGGCCTCTCCCTGGGGCTGCATGCAGTACATGCCTGTGGAGGAGGCCTTCGCGCTGCCCCTCGTGCTGAAGGTGGTGAACAACCAGGACTTCGGCCAGCAGACCGTGGTGGGCCAGGCCAACGTTGACTCCCTGCAGCCCTACTTCTGTGACCCCTGGGCTGAGGACTACGTGCCCCCACAGCCTCCAGGTATGGCCCTTTCTCCTTGCCCTTACCCAGGCCTCACCAACAAGCTGGCACCAGGGGTGGGCAAGGCCCTGGCTGCCCTGCGAGGTGGGTGTCCCTCCTCCTCCCCCTTCTCCCCTCTCCTGAGATCACGACTGCCCTTTCTTTACACAGTGCTGTCTGTGAAAAAGTACCATAAGGTGAGTAAAGGGCTGGAGGCCCCATGCCATTTAGAAGAAATAGCCCTTGTCCCTGAGGAGGGTATAGATTAAACAGGGCTCTGGTATCTGTGCCCCCAGTGTGAGGCCTACTTGTACAGTGATTGTCAACCTGGACCACACATTAGAGTTGCCCAAGAGCTTACAAAATCCTGCCAGCCAGGCTCTGACCAGGTGCTGGGGGATAGGACCCAGATGTCAGCCATTTTTGTCAAGTTCCTCCTGTCCCCAGGTGATCCTAATGTTTTCAAAATTCAGAACTACTGCTCGAGAGCATTCCCTTCCCAACCTGAGTGCACAGGGATCCTTGGGGCATCGTGAGCAAAACTGGACTGGGATTCAGGGAGCCTGGGGTAGGTGGGGCTTGAGGCTCTGCATTTCTGAGCCCTTCCAGAGTTCAGTCTGAAGCTCAGGCAGTGAGAATTAAGAACTAACCTTCCCCTCCTTCCCGGCTCCAATCCTATGTCTAAGAGCCCGGAATTAAAAGGCCTCTGTGAAGGGCAAGGGAGCCAGGGAAGGAAGCTGTGGTCTCGAGCCCTGCTCCCTCTTGGAATTCAGAGATGATGGAGGGTGAACTGGGCAGCTGGGCCTCACTCTGCTCATCTGCAGTCTCCTTTCAGCTCCTAGGTTACCTCTATGAAAAGTTCTGGTTCAAGTCCAGCAAAGCTGAGGTGATGTAGGCTCAGCCCTGGGGAACAAGGAACAACTCCAGGCAGCTCTGGGAGGTGGGGGGGCAGCAGGACCCTGGGCAGAGGAATGCCACTGGGGCCAAAGTGCCCCTCTTCCCGGCCAGGATGAATATGAGCACGAAGTGGACTGGTGGAGCAAGCTGTTCTGGGCCACAGGAGATGCTCCCAAGTCCCTGAAGTACAAGTACAAAGACTATCACACTCTGAAGGTTTGTGGGCCCCTATGAGGGGAGATTACTGTGGGACAGGAGAAAATCTGCTGGGAGAGGCCAGCAAACCTAGCCTGGAATCCTCTGGGAACCACCAAGTGGGGAGGGGAACCGGGGGGTGGTTTCCTCATGTCTCCACAAGACCAGGCCACACCACTGCCAACCACACCCTTGTGGGAACTAGATGCCTTAGGGTGAGACCTGGGTGGTCCCTCAATCCCATGACCCGAGGAACCACCCCCCTCTGGCCAAGCCCTGGCCTGCCGTCCACACCCGCCAGGTCCCCCCTGCCCTCCGGCAGGTGTACAACTGTGAACTGGAGGCTGTGCCGGCCTTCCAAGGCCTGGAGGACTTCTGCCAGACCTTCAAGCTCTACCAGGAACAGCCCAAGCTGGACAGCCCTGTGGTAGGGGAGTTCAAGGTGCACGTCCTAGCCCAGTCTAGCTGCACCTGTCACCTTGTGCTCCTAGAAAACTCTGATAAAAGCCCTGGTTCTACATGCTCGCTGTGAGGATGGGGCAGGGAGAGCCTGATGGTCCTGGGAGTGGGGCGCGGAGACTGAGCTCTGCAGGGACTCAGGGTGGCCTCCTCTTACACAGGCAGGGCGAGGGCTTCTCTCTCCCGGCTCAGGCCTGTGCTGGTCTCCCCAGGCCCGAGAGCCTCTGAAAACTAGTGCGGATCTGAAGGGGGATGGATAGGGTGGGATGACAGCTCCCTTCAGCGGGAACTGGGAACTCACCTACCAACCAGTTCCTTTGCCCAACGCCCCTCCTAAATGCCCTGGTCCTGTGGAGCATCCCTGCTACACCCGCCTCCACCTGTCCTCGCGGCCTTCTGTCCCTGTCATCCTGACCCTGGACCCGGGACACCTCCCGGAGGGCTTTATAGAACCAGGCTGGCACTGCCAGGCTGGCTGCCAATACCTTCCCTCCCCAACACACATGCAGGGCCTATTCCGTGTCTACCCCTTTCCTGAGAATCCGGACGCCCCCAAGCCCCCTCGCCAGTTCTTGCTTTCGCCTAAGAAAGAGGACTTCCCTCAGCAGTGCTTGGTGCGGGTGTATGTGGTGCGAGCAATCAACCTGCAGCCCCAGGACACCAATGGCCTGGTAACCAGGGCCCCAAACCTGCAGTGCTCATCTTCCCCGGCGTCCTGCCCCACCCGACCCTGGTCCCCCACCACCACACCTCGCTCTACACCTCTGCGTCCCAGAGCTCCCTCAGGCTGACACCCAGACGGCCAACTCCCCACAGGCCCCACCTGGTACAAGGGGCTCATTTCTGCCCCACTCCCACCTTCCCTGGCCAACCTGGACCGACTCTCCATTTCCTGCCCTTCCCTCACTTACATCTGAACCCCAGTGTGACCCTTATGTGATCCTGAAGCTGGGAGAGACGAAGCTTGGCAACCGGGAGGAGTACCATCCCAACACCCTGGACCCCGTCTTTGGCATGTGAGCTGCCCAGATGCACCCAAACCCACACCCCTGCCTGCATCCACACTGTGCCGGGAGGACTTCCAGAAAGCAGAGAACTCCCACCCTCCTTTCTAGCCTCCACATTCCTCAGTGTCCTACACACTCTCCGTGTCTCACAGATGGAAGAGGCATCAATGAGCGGTCCAGTGCTCCCCACTCTAGAACACTTTGCCTGGGAAGGGAGCTCAGAATCCCACACCCCAGGCCTATCAAGTTATTCCCAAGGGAGGAGGGGTATGGCTTAGTGGTGGAATGTATGCTTAGCATGCACGAGGTCTTGGGTTCAACCCTCAGTACCTCCATTAAAAAAAAATAAAGATATTCCCAGCAGTAACTGGGGGATGGTAAGCTCTGCTGTCCATATTCACCAAGACCAAACAAGGGGGTGGAGCTTGGGCCCATGGAGCTGAGTGCCGAAGAGGGAGGCATGCAGATAAAGTGGTCTGTGGTCTCTGCATCTCCAACAACAGCCCACCCCCAACTCCCCGCCCAGGATGTTTGAACTGAGCTGCACCATTCCCCTGGAGAAGGACCTGAAGATCGAGCTGTATGACTTTGACCTATTTTCACCTGATGATAAGATTGGGACCACAGTCATTGACCTTGAAAACCGACTCCTGTCTGGCTTTGGAGCTCGCTGTGGGCTCTCCAAATCCTACTGCCAGTAAGAGTGGACCTGGACCAGGGCAAGGGAGGGTGGAGGAGTGAGCCCACAGCACCCTTTGAAGAGGCTGACATCCCGGGCTAGGGAACCAGGGCTCGAACCTGTCTCCACCCCTGCTCCCAGCACTGGTCAGCCTGCAGCTCAGAGCAGAGGGTCCTCCAGGACCGAGACCTCCCCACCCTTCCCCCTCACATATTCCTACAGCTCAGGGCCCTTCAGGTGGCGGGATCAGATGCCCCCCAGTGTGCTCCTGGAACACCATGCCAAGAGGAAAGGCCTGCCTCCGCCTCTATTCAGCCCTGAGGATGACTCTGTTTTTTACAACGGGAAAAAATTCAGACTGCAAAGCTTTGGTGAGAAGTGCAGCACACTGCCAGGAGGCACAGACCCTGGCCTCTGCAGACAGTGGGGCTCCAGGATGGAGGACCTGCCAAAGGGCATCCCACCCTTCCCTCCCTCCTGTAACGGGTAACTGGATAACCGTGTCCACTGCCCAGCCTGACGGAGAAGGTGGGGGGCCCAGGAGACAGGACAGCTAGTGACCTTGTGACCACCTCCTTCCATCCCTGTCCAATCTAGAGCTCAAGCCCCCTTCTGCTCGTTTTTGGGACCTAAGAAAGAACGCCTTGCCCTGTACCTCCTGCACACCCAGGGGCTGGTACCTGAGCACGTGGAGACCCGCACACTGTACAGTGACAGCCAGCCAGGCATCGACCAGGTATGAGACTAGAGGGGCCGGATCAGGAGCCGGGGGAGCTCATCCATCCAGGATGAGAGAGAAAGGAGAGGCCAGGCCTCCATGGATGTACAGGCAGAGAAGACAGTTGTGTTCTGCGCATGTTACTAAGTAAGAAGTTCCAGTGACGTTGCTGAGAATAGAAAAATTCAGAACTGGAAAAGGCATTGATAGGAAACCGAGGCCATGTGACAGCTGCAGGGAAGCACTCAGGTGCCCGACCGGCTAACACTAGCACCGCCTTAGTCTCTCTGAGGGAGGGCAGGGAGGGAGCACCTGGGGTCAGACGTGTAGACGTTACAACCCTGGTCTGGCTGTTAATTGCAGGCTGTTTTCGCCAGGACAAGGAACCCCAAACAGAAGGAAGAAAAAAATCCCACAGGCACCCTAATTATCCTCTACCCTCCAGCCAGCAGCACGGCTCACCTCACTGTCCAAATCTCTCAATCTGATACCACGTTCTAGACACTAAGTTCTTTGCTGAGTTCTTTTTAAAACCATTCTCATTAGACCTGTTTTCTCATTAAATGGGGTTAATTTCAAAAGGCTAAAACTAGGTAACATGGTTTGAAGGAATCTATCTTCCACTGATCCATTGTCTTCCACTCCCTTTTGCTTTTTTCTCTCCCTTTTTCTATTTCCATCCCTTCTTTCTTAGCTTTCTGTGCTTGGTGGATAGCTTGATATCCTTGGGATGTGGTTACACAAGGTGAAGTGACCTAGAGATCACCTAGCTTGCTCTTACTCAGGGCCCCTAAGGTGGTTGATAAACAAAGCCCCGGTCCCCTTCTGGAGCCCCGTCCAGAGAGACTGTCTGGTGTGACCTGTTACTTGGCATCGACTCTCCAAACCTCAGTTACAAGTGACATCCCTGCACCACAGCCATCAGCCACGAAGCCACCAGATGCTACCAACCTTACTGCACTATTGCCCGAGCCAAAAAAAGAAAAAGGGGAAGCTGCTGGGTGGTGTGCTGACTTCTTGCCTGAGGTCCACCCCACCTTAACGATACCTCGATACCCCACCGCTTGGTGGGTGGAAACAGCCTCAGCAGACCTCAGGACCTGGGACAGGGCTCCCCGGGCCAATATGCCAGGAACGGGCTAGCAAGCCCCAGCCAGCTAATCCATCTCCACTCTAGGGAAAGGTGCAAATGTGGGTGGACATCTTCCCCAACAAGCTGGGGCCTCCTGGCCCCCCGGTCAACATCAGGCCCAGAAAACCTAGAAGGTGAGTGACATCCACTTCCCAGGCACTGCATCGGGCAGTGCGGCCCTCCCAGGGTGCAGAGCACCAGTGGATTCCAACACTCAGTCACAGGAGTTCTCTGCTGGGACTCTGGGGAGCTTCCTGAGTGGAGGGCAGCCTCCCAGGCCTCTCCTACCTCACCGAGGCTGCAGCCGGGGAGCTAGTCCTCAGCAAAGCCTCAGAGAACAGTGGCTGCAGGTACGAGCTGCGCTGTGTCATCTGGAGAACTGCTCACGTGGACCTGAAGCGGAACAGTCTAAGTAACGAGAAGATAAGCGACATCTATGTCAAAGGGTGAGGAGGCTGGCAGAGTTCGCTCAGATCCCCCCAGTCCTCTCCCTCCCAGTCCTTGTGATCCGGGGTGACGTCCCTCCACCTCCACCAGTGCCTGGCGTCTACTGGGCAGCCCTTAACACAGGGCTCCTGCGCGGGGGTGGGGACAACACACCTGAACCCCAGGTGAAAGAACTCTGGCCCCAGGTGGTTATTCGGGCTAGAGAAGGACACACAGAAGACAGATATCCACTACCACTCCCTGACGGGGGAGGGCATCTTCAACTGGAGGTTCATCTTCACCTTGGACTACCTGGCGGCAGAGCAAGTGTGCGTCCTGAGCCAGAAGGTAACAGGCCCGGGGCAGCGCGAGCTCCTCCCCCTCCTCCCTTCAGAGGCCTGCGAGCTGCACTAGAACACTTGTAATGTGGCCTCAAGTGGAAAGCCTCTTCCTCGACAGTCAGCCCATCACAGCTGGGTAGTGGGCTACTAAGTGGCCGAGGGAACTCTCAGAGACAGGCTGCTAACACGCTCTCCTGCCGTCCTCCAGGACTACATATGGAGCCTGGACCCCACAATGATGACGTTCCCGGCCCGGCTCATCATCCAGATCTGGGACAACAACATCTTCTCCAGTGATGACTTCCTAGGTGAGATCCCAGCACAGGGCCCAGGACCACCAGACAGGGAGCTCCTCCTTGCTGACAGCGTCTCTCTGGGTGCAGGGGTCCTGGAGCTGGATTTGTCTGACATGCCCTTCCCAGCCCGGCACGCCAAGCTGTGCTCCATCAGGATGATGGATGCTGACCCCAAGTGGCCCCACTTCCTCCAGTACAAGCACTTCTCCCTCTTTAAGATGAAGACTGTAACCGGCTGGTGGCCTTGCCAGGTCCTCGATGATGGCAAATGGCGCTTGTCGGTAGGAACTAGGGAAGGTGCCTGTCACATAGGAATAGGGCTGATTGCTAGGCCACAGAACTTGGCTCTAACAGACTTCTGGGGCCTTTGGCAAAATCCCTTTTCCTTTCTGGACCCTGGGAAGAGGTCCTAAAACCATTCTCACTCCTGCCGCTGAACTCAACCTCCCACTGCTCATGGTGTTTCTAGGGTAAAGTGAAGATGACTCTGGAGATTCTGACAGAGAAGGAAGCCTTAATCAAGCCAGCAGGACAAGGCCAGTCGGAACCCAACCAATACCCGACTCTCCATCCGCCCCTGTAAGGGTTCTACAGGGCCAAGGAATCAAGCCTTTCTTCCGGGCTCACAAGGCTGAGCTGCTGGGCCCAGCAGTTTGTGTGGGGTGGTGACCAGGGTATGACTACTTCCTGCTGCTCCAGCTCCAACACTCAGTTACAATCAAGGGAGAACAGCTGGGGCGGGGGAGGGAGCAGAAGTTGCTTTTTTTTTTTAAATGAAAGCCCTTTGCTCCGGATTACTTGACTGAAAGTTCCCTCTGCCCTCCATTCTCTGCCGTCTCCTCCGCTCACGGACAGACGCACCAACCCCTTGGTCAAGTGGTTTCAGTCACCCATTACAAGCTTCTTTCATGTTTTCTGGAAACGCTACCGCTTCAAAATCATCATCATCTTGATCATTGCAATTATAGGGCTTCTGCTGTTCAACTTTATCTATTCAGCTCCGGTGAGTGACAACCCTGGGGACAGGGACAAAGGCACTGGTCACTCTTGGGAGGACTCAAGAGAGAGCCCTCGGGTTGCTACTGCAAGCTAACTGTTGCCTGTTCTCTCCAGAACTATTTGGCCATGAGCTGGATCAAACCTGAACTTCGGCTGAGTGCTCCCATTCAAATATATGCCAATATCAACAATTCACCAAACACCAGCAGCGCCAACTCTTCCACCCTCACCATTCATCATCAGAACCTAAAGCCAACAACAGACCATAAGCTGAAACTCCTCCAGGGACCCAGGAATCACCTGCGAGATATTTTTCCAGAACTGCCAGCCCCACAGGACTAATTCTCCCATGTCTGCCTGGCTTTTGTCCTGCCTACCAACGGCCCTACCCTGGGCTTCCTGCCGGCTCCTTGTTTCTAGGGGCTGGGGATATCCTGGCCGTTCTGTTCAGAAACCACTTCCAATAAGAAGGGCTGAGTTGTAATTTTCCGCTGAAATAAACAAGTTTTGTAACAGAGAGCCACCTTGTAATTTGCGGGGTTGACAACACTGTGAAAGGCTGAAAGTGCCAGACTTTCAGACAAGACTCACAAGGACGGGGAGTGATGTCATCTTTATGTGCCACCTCTAGTCTTCGGGGGCTCTTCGGCTCTAAGGGGCTCTGAGGTCAGAGGAAAACAGAGGGAAGGGGTGTCTGTGAGGAGGGAGGTGGCTCACGGCGGGTAAGCAGCTGGCCGAGGCCACTGCTCTCACCCACATGCATGTACATCAAAGCGGCACTGGGACCAGGCGGCTCCCTCCTCAGGGACACACCTGGGGCTCCAGTGCCCAGAACAATATTCAGCTCCACTCAGGACAGGAAACATTTGTTTTCAGAACAAAAAGCTAGAGCTAGGGCAGACCCTACCACGCTGGCCAGATGGTTTCCTCACACCGCACGCTCGAGGAGCCCCGGAACCAGAATCAGACAAAACCCACAAGTGTGATCTCCCCCACCTCCAAGCCCTTCCCATCGAGACCCTCCTCCTGCACCCCTGCCTGGGCCAGCTCACGAGTCCTCCCACCACAGGGGTCTAGCTAAGCTGCCCTTGAACTCAGAAAGACAAAACAGCCATTTGCTTTTTCAGTCCTACCCAGTCCTAAGACCAAGCCCTGTGTGCAGAGGGGGTCAGGAGGGTCCCACTGTAACCCCACCTGCAGGAGAACACTGCCACCCGTGAGGCCTAATTAAGCTCCTGGGAAGGATCTAAGAAAACTGAAGACAAGGGAAACCCTCTACCAGCCAGGGTGACCCCTTCCCTTCCAAGCTGAGCAGAGGGCTTTTCCAACCCCCAAGGAATGGCAAGGGCTGATGGACTTGAGGCCTGGATGTTCCCCCAAACCCACCCCTAGAAGGAAGGACACTCAATCAGAAGCTCAGGTTTGGTTTCCATTAGCCATTTTAAGAATTTCCCTCAGGCTACAGAAGCACAGGCTAAGAGGGCTCAGAGTTCAGGCCCTCCCGGGAGACTCTGCCTGTGAGCAGTGGCGTCACAGGGCAGACAGGTGAGCAGCACGTGACCCCTCGTCAGGTAAGGCAGTGGAATCGGGGTGACCCAGAGAGGAGGACACTCAAGCTCTGCTGCTCAGTGACGACGAACTCCTCCAGGCACAGACAATGAGGGTCTATTGCTCCCAGACTTAAAACCACATCTGCTTTTTATCCATTAAGAGGAAGAAGCCAGTGTTCCTCTTTGGGGAGTATCCAAACTCAGGCTATAAGAAGAAAACTTCCTTATATTTTCAACACTCCAAATGGGATTCCAAAACTCATGATGAACACAAAACATGAAGCTAAGTAGGCTCTGGAGTCCAGAAACATCTCCACGTGGCTGGGTCACATGGCAAATGCTGCTTTAGGGATCGAAATGCGGAGCAGTCAGTTTCAGTCAGTCCCACTGCATCCGTGAAGCCTCTCGATCAAGCTTCTCTGGACTTGCACACCAGCTTTCAGCCAAATTTGATCAAGGGCCTGAAGGGACCTAACTGGGAAGGTCATGAACACGCCAATAGAACCAAGATCCACGCTAGAGAACAAAGGCTTGAGCAGTGAGCCAAAGCAGAAGGCCCTCTCCCCGTGGCCACCTGCTGAGGGCCAGTGAAACCTAAGTCTGTTCTGCAGCCCCGGGGCCCCAACAGAGAGGCATCCCAATGTCTTCTCCAGCTCAGGCTACATCTGCAGAGGACAATGAGTGGAGGGAAAGCAAAGTGAGGCAGGGAAGAAGTTTCCATTCAGATTTCCAAGGAAAGCTCTTCAAATGGACAGAGGCTTAGACAAAAAGCAAAAACCAGTGGATGGATGGCTGGAAGGTATGAAGAGTTACCAGTTTTCTATTCTTTGCAGATTTAAAAATGAAGTACAAGGATCTTCAACAAGATGGCCTGGGCTGTGAAATCCTTTCATGTGGTCTGGCATCACAGCAGCCTATATGCTCTCCATCCCTCTTCACTTCCAAGTGGTGGGACTGTAGGGAAAGGCACGTCACAGCAGCGTCACCCTGGGGGAGGGTGGGCCTCCCGAACCAGAATGAGACGTCATCACGGATGACCATGGAAATGCAGCATCCCTGCATTTGAAGCTCCAGTGACAGAACAGAGTCCCTGGCCAGCTGCTGGAGACGGGAGAAGACCCGCCGGGCTATGTGCTCAGGCCAGCGCCTGCTCCGCCCACACCCTCTGGGTGACAGCCACAGAGGCTGTGGCCACAGGAGGGCTCAGTAGAAGCGCTTTCGGCTCTGTTCCTGCCATTTGTTGTAGAGTATGATCCCAATGACAATGGCAAACACAGAGAACACCAAGGAGAAGAAGACGATGAGAAAGAGGGCCAGGCCACTCAGGGGCGGCAGTGGGGCTGTCACTGAGGAAGCAAGAGAGAAGCAAGTCAGGATCAGGGAGCCCACCCAGGTGGGAAGGACCACCCAACAAGCTATCAAGTCCCCAGGTTCAGATGCCCATTTCTGGACCTGGAGCTCAGACTCTCCCTTTCCAGATGCTTCCATGTAAAACCTAAGTGGCCCCCTGTCTGCTCATCTGTAACATGGAGACAAGGGAAAAAGCAGGGGCAAGTGCTCCACATTCTTTAGAGAACACAGAATGGAGCCAGCCCGGCCAGCTGTGCTGCAAGGCACCTGGGACCCCCACACCCCCGCCCACAGCCCTCCGACCTCCTCCTCGCTGCCAGACAGCTTCCCGGGTTCCCCTGGGCTCACTCTCAGGCAGCTTCATGTTGTCCACCGAGGGCAGGAACACGTCTCGATGCAGCTTCTCCTCTTCTGGGGTCCTCTCCACTGTCAGCTCAAACAGCTTCAGGGAAATGACGTCATGATTATCTACAGAGAAAAAGAGCAAGGATTATTCAAGCCTCCTCAGGAGGAGGCAGCTGATCCACAGCTGACAAAGAATGACCTGAAAAACAATAACTGAAACCTCTGATTCTCATTTAACAGTAAGGATAGAGAACAGGAAAACTGTCTTATCCCGAATTTAAAGTTTTATCAACAAGCATGCATTACCTATATAATTTTAAAATTTAGAGATAATACAAGAACCCCTTTTCATATGTAAAACCTTCCAGTGAGAGGAGACACAGTGGCCCTGCAGCTTCCCTTCAATGTGGACGACACGCAGAAGTGACAGGAAAGGGCCTCAGAACAGCTGCTTAATAGGCCATGAGTGGGCACAGCTAGTGGCCTAGAACACATTCCCTTTGGGACTGTGCCTAATTCTTTGCAGCTCCTTGTAACCATGACCCTGAATCTCACTATTAATTACCCGAGAAGGATCAAGGAATTAGGGACTCAATTTTTTTCTCTCCTTTTAAAAAGTATCACTATAAGCTCATAGATTCAAACACACTTGATGTGTTTCAATACACTGAAGTTGTATCTCCTATGGATGCTCAAATCAACCCATCTTTGTCCAGTGGGAGCCTATTCAAGTTGGCTCCTGAGTCCTTTTACAGGAACACCAGAAGTTTTTGAGATCTTTCTTGCTTCTCTAGGACATTCCCAGCTTGTATTTCCTACCTCAGACCTGGCATCAGCCACATCTCCAAGTTCTTGTCCCTCTTAGTGGGAACTGGTATTAAGAGACCACAAATGTGAGTACTAGAGATGCTCAGTCCTACTGGGTTGGTCACTGGGGACTGGATTTCTTGCCACTTCTATTATTAGGATGGCATCTACGGCTGCTTGGACCCTTTGACTCTTTAGGAGTCCCCCAGGTAGGAAAAAACTGGAATCACCTTCAATTAGAAAAATGTTTTCTCAGTCAGGCTGAGATTAAACCATGGGACAGGATAAAAAGCCAGGGCAATGCTCCTCACAGCGTAAGGGTGTCAAACACTGGGGCAGCTGGGATGTGTCCTAACTTGCTTGCAGTTTCCAATAGTCCACAGCAAAATAAACAAGATGTCAACAAGAAAGACCTTAAGAGAAAGACACAATTTGTATTTAGGGCTATCCTGTGGGCAGAGAACATGGATATACTAACCTCGGCATTACCCTAAACACTGAGAGCAAAGGACTCCTTTGGATAAACAAAAAATTCTCTTTGGCCATTTCTTACAGTTGGGAACAACTTTCCAATGTTCCCACTGAAAAGTACAACAGGAGGTTAACTGAGCAGGTCCCAGAACCTGCAAGCTCAAAGGAAACTTGTAGACAAGGACAACTTTTTCAACTTAAGTCATATAAAGAGATGACATAGCAAAGATCTCCAGCCTGTGCCCCCCTTACCTGTGCCAAGGTGAGATGTCCCGCACTGGCCCACCTGCACAGTATTTAGAACTAGCTGCCAAAACTAACCTAAGTGACAGAAAGCAGATCAATGGTTGCCATTGGTAAGGGAGGAATGCTGCAAAGGGGCATAAGAGAACTTTCTGCAGCGATGGAAACACTCTGTATCTTGACTGTGATGCTGAATATGTACGTGAAACTATTTGTCAAACTCTTCCCGCTATATACTTGTTATGTGGAAAGCATATCCCAAGCAAGTTGAATTTAAAAAAAGAAAGAAAAAATAGTTGCCAGGATTTTAAAAATCAAATTTCATTTAAAAAAATTCAGACTTCTAGCTTCTCTTGAAAAACTAGAAGACATGACCTCATTGAGCCCACACTTTCTCTTGGCAACAATGGCTGGAACTGAGCAGCTGCTGCCCATTTCAGATGGGTATTTGCCTTCCTTTTGGCCACAAGAAAGTCCTGTCATACTAGCTGCATTCATAATAAATTATATTAATCAAAAGAACCAAAAGTTCAGTTCTTTACCTCTTTTCAAAAGATGATATGACTGACATTAAAACCAAGGGAAAGAAAAAGCACATATAGAGAAGCTTCCAGTTCAGAACAGGTAGGAAGAAAACCCAGGAGAGAGAAGAGTGAAAGAGCCAGGTACCGCTAATGCCACGTATGTCAAGGAAGGCAAGAGTAATCAGTCAAACGAGCTGAAGGCAGGACAAAGAGCAAACACTGAGAACAGCAATGAAACAGAAAGAACTTTTAAGAGAAGAGTGGTAACAGCATGGCAGAGAAGCAGGCCCGAGTGCAGCATTCACCATGGGGGCAGAGTCACAGAGGTGGGCGGCTGGGAAACAAGCCTCTGCACACACATCACATTCAAAGGTCTGAGCACAAAGGAGAGTCTGGGGTCAGTTAGAAGAGGGAGGGCGGAGTCAAGGAAAAGCTCTGTCAAGAGAAAGGAACTGTAGGTGGAGGAAGGACAGGGACCTGACTGTGTAAAGTGGCACCAGAAATAGGAAAGGACAGGACT